GCCGCCAGCACTGTTACATTGCAAAACCCTTCTTTCTTCCCTCCTCTCTTCTCTTTTCTTCTTCTCCTCTTCTCTTCTCTTCTCTTCCTCTTATTTTTGGCCGGCCATACTGTCAAGAGATAGGATGGGAAAAGTTTTAACTATGAGAAGAATTGGATTCCATGATGACACATGTCACTTGGCACAGTACTTATTGTAGTTTGATGGTGCTCTGAGCTGAAGTTTACAGAAAAACTTTTGCCATTGGCATCCATATACAGGGTGTCATGAGAAAGGTGACATCCAATGAGAAGTCCGTTCTTTGATTTACCTATTTTTACTACTACCAAATTATTTATGTAACTAAGTATTATTTATAGCTGTGTCACTGTGGAATGATTTTTTTTGACATGCTATTCACCTGTAAACACCTATTTCTTGGAATGTTTTCCACATACTTAGCGAACATTGGATAAAACTAAGTGAAGGATGATTTGATAGGAAAAGGAGAAGAAAAATAGAGAAGTTAGTTAGATATGGGCGGATAAATTGTGCACAACTGGTATCTAGAAGAAGAAATTTCAAACTAAACCTTTACTCAATTTCATTCATCACTAACTGAGGAAATCTACAAAACATTTTTTTAATCTATAACCTAGAATTGTATTAATTAAAAATGGAAACTTCTCAGCATCTGAAAGGATGGAGAGAATACAGTGCAAACAGTTTAAAAGTTTAGAAGAGTATAAAATGTTATAAGAGACTTCTGTATTCCCCAGAAAATATGGTTCCTGGTACTCCGCCTCTTGAAAGACTCCAATATAGTCTTATATAGACTTTAGTATTGTTGTTTTTTCATGACCAGTCGTCCACTTGTCACCAGTAATATGTTCTTGAAAGTACTACATTTTCTTATTATTATAAAGTTACTAATTTATGTATGTATAAGTGCAGAGTTCAAGCCAATCAGCGTGCAGGACGAGCTGGAAGAACATGCCGTGGAAAGTGTTACCGGCTTTATCCTTCCATAGTTTACCATGATGACTTTCTAGATGTGACAGTCCCCGAAATACAGCGGTCTTCTCTTGCTGGAAGTGTCCTTTATTTGAAATCATTAGACCTCCCTGACATGGATATTCTCAAATTTGATTTTCTTGACCCTCCTTCACGTAAGAACAAATCTTTGTTTTCTTTCTCTTGACTTTTTATTTCTAAGTAACTAGCATGCTTTATTTGAATCATATGTTGTCTGTAATTAGGAATGGCAACGAGGCAGGGAACATACTCCCCATCCCTGACCCCGACTTTGAAATAAATCCCCGTCCCCAACCCCGATCCCCGTTGGGGATAAAAGTGATCATCCATCCCTGATCCCCAATGAAAATGGGTTCCCCATTGAGGATCCAAATCCCCAAAGTTTTAAATTATTTTTTTAGAAAATAGATTTGCTTAAAATAAGGATTTTTTAAATATAAAAATATTTTGATATAAATAATATAAATATTTTTATATATGTATATATTTAATATAAATAGATTTAGAAAATATATATGTATATATTTGATATAAATAATATAAATATTGTTATATATATATATGTATATCTTTAATATATAATGGAGTCGAGGTGGGGTGGGGAATTCACTCCCCATCCCCGTCCCCATCCCTGGTTGGGTATCACTATCAATCCCTGTCCCCATCAAGGTAATTTCCATCCCTAATCCCATTGGGTCGAGGAAGCTGTGTACTGACGGGGACGGGGAAAATTGCCATCCCTATCTATAATGTTTCTCTTTGCTTTCAGTATGCTCCTATTTCTCTCTGTCATTGTTACTAAGCAGTCCTTAATATTGACCATTACTGCAGGTGAGTCACTGGAAGATGCTTTAAAACAATTATATCTTATTGATTCTATAGATGAAAATGGTTTAGTTACACAAATTGGGCGAAAAATGGCTGGTAATGGCTTAGCTTCCCACCAATATTTTTTTAGTGTTGCTATATACTTATAGCGGAATGTTATTATTTTCTGGTATGATTTTCAAAGCATCATGGGTTTTATGTATCATATCCTCGTTATCTTAAGGATTTCATTTTCATTATCTAAGATTGGTTAAATGAGTCACTTTGGCTTTCCTTTCCTTTTTTTTTTTAAATCTAGGGCCATAATCTTCAATCAAAGCGTGACTTTATTGCTTTTTAAATTTTAACACTTTTTGAATAATGGCTTTAAATTCTTGGAATTACCTTGATCACTGTTTTTTATTAACTATGTCGTTTTAGAGCCTTTAATTTTGCATCCTTCTCCACAATGATGTCAATGGTCAAATAAAAGAGTTTCTGTTTTATTAACTATGTTGGTTTAGGAGGGCTTTTGAGGAATTTGAAAGGAGGAGAGAAGAAAAGTTAAATAAAAGTTTTTGGGGAAGGAGGTGAGATTTGGGACGAGGATGATTCAAGCCAGGAGGATGGGTTTGTGGAAGAGGATTGAGGGTAGTTTTTTTTGCAAGGTGTGGCTTGGTTTTTTATCAGGTCTCCGGTTGGTGGATTTTTTTGATCTACGCATGAGTCTGGTCTATTGTGGCTGGATGCTCGTTGAGTCGGTTGTAGTCTTGATGTTATTAGGAGGATGATGAAGTTGTTTAGTGAATCCAGTGATTGTGTCTCTGATAAGCCCCCAATTATCCTCACGTATGCCAGGAGAGGGAAAGGGCAGTGCAAGCCAGGTCGGCAGTCGGTTGAGGGAAATGTGTAGATATGCCAGCTGGGCATGGCTGGAGGGAGTTAGTTATGATATCAAGAGGGAATATTTCTGGAGGGAATTAGTTAGGATGTCAGGAGGGAATATTTCTGGAGGGAGTTAGTTAGGATGTCAGGAGGGAATAATATATGGGAATTTCTGGATAGGGGGAAGGGGGGTGCGGTGAGAAACATTTTGAGTGTTTTGGGAGAGCCGGCGGTCTCTCGAAGAACCGACCACTGTTATTACTCTCCATTGAATGAATACAAGTTTCTTTTCATTTGAGCTGTGTATTTTCACTGAGTGCCTGTGAATTGTGTGTGAGATTTCTGGGATATATTAGTCTCTCTCTCAGGTGATATCTTTTGTACTCCTTTCGTCTATTTATGAAATTTTCTCTTTATTCTTCAAAGACAAAAAAAAAAGAAAGATGTCAATGGTCAGTCGTTGCTTATGAACAAAATCATCTTTGTTGAAGTATCCCATGTTGTTTGCTATCACCATGCTACAACTATAATATTAGTACAGTGGCTATATAAAACTGAAACTGAATCAGAAGAAGCCTAATCAGAAGCACCCTTCTCCATAATGATGCCAATGGGCAACTGTTGCTGTGGCTGGATCCATCAATATTCACAATTAGTGATATCTGGAGGGGGACTAAACTGACAGACTGACCTCATTTAAGGAACAAAAGCATTTCAGTTGACTACCATGAAAAAAATCTTCTCAATTTGGTCTTACTTATTTTCCTCTCATATATATTCCTTCTGTTGAATGCATGGTTTTGTGATTTTGTTCTTCCTATATTTGCTCATTTATATCGTCATCCTCATTTGGGTTATATGTACATAATTGATAATTCTTGATTTCCAAGATTATGCTGCATATGCAACATTTACAGCTATTGCTGTCTTACCAAGAGAAAAAGGCTTCCCACAACCATAGCCCAGAAAAAAACATATACATTAAATAACCTGCTTTATTGACAATGAAGGGCTGGGAAAAATCTTTGTGTCCACATTTCTCTTCACTAGGCTAGATCATTGGCTAGCTCAGTAGCTTAGTTTGGTTTCCAATTGAATGAGATATTACATATTAGACATGAAGAAACATGCCCCAACGAAATAATTGGATGAACACCACAGACATAAAGGTGACTCAATCACCCAATCAATGGTAAGATTGTAGAGACAATGAGCGCCAAAGGGTTATTTTGTCTTTTTATGCTTTCTTGTACATTAGATTATTTCTTATTCTTTTGTACATTATTTGTATATTGAGGACATAATGGTCCTTTCACTATTATAATATAAATACTCTTACCTGGGTGTCGACTGCCACTTTTGACACACCCAACAATTGTCTTCTTCTTTTCTCAGTCTCATTATCTGACTCTGACAAAGATAACCAAGGATATGAGAAACAATCTCATAATCAAGTTTGTTGGTAATTATCAAAAAAAAAATCAAGTTTGTTGGTATTCCTTTAAATTCATTGCTTTTCTAATGTGTTGTTCTAAATACATAAATAATGGAAACCTAAGGAAGTTTGATACTTGTCACCTCGCACATTGAATGGGATGAATACAATATGGGAAAGCATTAGGATTCCTCTCCTCCCATAAAATGCAAATAACAACCAGAAAGAGACTCCCCTTTGAAACTCTTTTCGTACCTCTGTGTAAGGTACAAAACGCAAGAAAAAACATTATTTCAATAATATCCTCTGCAAGGAGCAAACTAACTAAGTTGATAAAGTCTTAGGGGGTTGGAACCAGCTAGGATTGAATCCAGCCTTCATCATTCTAGCTACTGAGTACTGACTACTAACCACTGAACCATTGTTTAGCAAACAAATTCCAGGGGGGGGGGGGCTTGGAGAAATGAATAAAATTATTGATTACTCTTGCGGATCCAAAAATAAAAATAAAATAAAATTATTGAGACTGCATTATTGTGCCCATAAAGTAACTAGAAAAATCAGAGCTCCCATGTATTTATGAAATCATTTGGATCATAATCTTCTCATTCATTTTACAATCTTTGGGCAGTCAAAATGTCACTTCATAATTGTTTTTCTAGCCAATTTTCGCCTATCATGCCCTGGGGGTTATTTTGAGCTTTCTTGCTTGCTGCTTTTGTTGTCACTAGTCACTAAACTCTGGAAATTATGCTCTTTCCACTGAATGTCTATATCTATATTCTTACTTGAAATAGATCTGCAATGCAGTTTGAATATTAAATTTAATTAATACGTGGTGTTACAATTTTCTTTAGATATATAACCTTTTCTTTTCTCTGAGCCTTGGCATTGTTACTGAATCTTGTGCAGAGCTCCCATTAGAACCTTCACTTTCAAGAACATTGTTAGAGGCAAATGAATTAGGATGTCTGTCTGAGGCTTTGACTGTTGCTGCCATGTTATCTGCAGAAACCACATTGCTTCCTGGTCGAAGGTTAAACTTATTTTATATTGTTGTATTTCATTATTGATAAGTTGGTTTCATCTTTATGTATTCACTAGGAGAAAATATTTTTCACTGCTGAAATCCTATCCCCTAACTTCGACTATTTGCAGAATAACGGTAAAGTAGGACTAATCAACTTGGAATTTGAAATTGAAGTTATATGTGCTACCTTGTTCACAAGTTTCTATCACTAGGGAATAATATTTTATCAATATCTTTAACAGATGGTATATTTTCAGGAAGCACATTATATAAATAAATTACTTTATTTCATTATCTCCATAAATTTTACTATATGGAAATGAAGTCTTCAATCCAGGATCAGGATGTGCTGGACTTTATTTTCATTTCCTTCCAGAGATGGTTTAATTATCTTATCCTTATTTAACTGATAACATGATCTTGTAGTTACCATCCATTATCTGATTTTATTTACCAAGTTTTATATGCTCATCTGTTTTTGACATGCTTAGGTTATGTTGAAACCTTACGCCATATGCTCCACTTGCAGTAAAGGTACTGAGAAGAAAAGAAAACCCACTCCTTTGGACTTGCCAGATGGTTCTGGATGGGGTGATCACATTCAGTTACTCCAAATTTATGAGAGTTGGCATCGAGTTGACTATGATTCACGTTGGTGCAAAGATAATGACTTGCAGGTATCTTTCTGTAATCAATTTCAGATACACTTTTAAGAACCGTGCTGAGGTGACATAGAGGAGATGATATTCAAAATTTTTTGCAAGTTACTTGGGTCTAACTTCAAAGTGGAGAGAAAACTGTCTCAAGTTATATTACTTGACTTACAGTCTAAATTTGTGGAAAATTCCCATTTGTCTAGATTTGGGTGCTACTAGATAGGTCATTCACTTACTCATCAACAAGACTAAGATGGTGCTATTTGGGCATCAATAGTTATTACTGATTTACAGGAAATTGATGCCTCTGTCACAGTTTCTATTTTTCAATTTTGAGTTTTGAGTTAGAGCAATAGTAGTTTTAGGATTTATTTTAGTAGGTATTTGTATTTAGAAGTTATTTCCTTTTTAAAATTGTATGTCAAAATTTGTAATGGGTCAAAAGTCAATTTTTCTAACATTCTTAGGGTTCTATATTTTGGCACATTAGTTGTATTCCCTGTTTCTTCCTGTTTGTCTCTAATGATTTATTTTTTCTTGCAACATGCAAAACATTTGTTATGAAAAACACATCTTAAACTTGAGTCCATTTAAAAGATATGTGGCTGGCGGCACCTAGGTTAGTATTTATACTTGGGGTGACAACTTATAACAAATAGAGGAGGAAATGCCAAAAATACACCTACGCTAGTACAGAACATGTTACAACACTCCCCCTCAAGTTGGAGCATATATGTCAATCATGCCCAACTTGTCACACAACTCATTATGCCGCAAATAGTGAAGACCCTTTATAAGGACATCAGCTAATTGTCCCTTGGAACTGATGTAAGGGGTACAAACTTCTCCCTTTTCAAGTTTTTCCCTTATGAAATACTTGTCAACTTCAATATGCTTGGTCCTGTCATGAAGAACTAGGTTGGTCGCAATATTAATGGCAGTTTTGTTGTCACAGTAGAGAGACATTGGACCATCAACAAAGAAGCCCAACTCTCCAATTTAAATTCTTTACTCAAAACACTTCAGCAACTCCATGCGCCATGGCCCTATACTTGGCCTCAGCACTAGATCTGGCCATTACACTTTGTTGTTTGCTCCTCCAAGTGACCAAATTTCCACCAACAAAGGTACAATATCCACTAGTTGACTTTCTATCATCAATTACTTTGGCCCAATCTGCATTTGTGTAGACCTCCAATTGGAGTGGGAGATTCTTTGAGGGCTGAGATACTAGTAGCCCTTGAAGGGGTACAAAGGGTCAAGGACATGAATATTAATAAATTGATCATAGAAGGAGATTCTGAAATTGTGGTGAGCTGGCTAAAAGAGGACAACTCTAGGCTTTGGAATTATAGCAATGAAAAGAGGAAATTTAAATGGCTGACTAAGGACATTGAAATTCAATGTACATGGGTAAAGAGAAGTGCAAATTCATTGGCAGATGGTCTAGCTAGGCAAGGGGTGAACAGAAACTCTATGTTTTGGGCTGTGTTGTAATTGCTTTACATTTTGGGTGTACATTGGTTGTATACGGGAGTTAAGATTGTTTAGCTCCTTTGCTTTGTAATTTTCAATACTTTAATAAAATTCACTATTATTGATAAAAAAAAATCTTGAATAATAACCCAGTTCTTGGATATTTCTTTAGATATCTGAGCACTCTCTCAGTTGCCCCTAAATGGGAGGTTGTTGGCGCATGCATAAACTAAGGACACCAATAGCATAAATTATATCTGTCCAAGTCATTGATAGGTAGGGAAGTCTTCCTACCAATCTTTGAAACTTCTTAACATCTGTCACTGGTTCTCCAGTACAATCACCAAGACTATAGTTTTCATCAATAGGGGAATCTGCAGGCTTTGCTCTCAACTTTCCTGTGTCTTGTAAGAGATCTAGGATATATTTACTTTGAGAAATGAAGATGCCCTTTTGAGAGCAGGCAGCTTCAATACCAAGGAAATAACGTAGCTGTCCCAGATCTTTCACCTCAAACTGCACAACAAGGGATTCTTTAACTCTCTGAATCTCAGAGTCCCAATTCCCCGTAATTACAAGGTCATCAACATACACAATCAAGACCACAACATCCTTTTGGTTCCTTTCGATAAATAAAGTATGGTCAGACTGGCACTGCTTGAACCCAATTTGTTGAAGAGCCAAGTGAAATCTACTGAACCAAAGCCCTCGGGGATTGTTTTAAACCATATAAAGACCTTTTTTTTTTTAATTTGCCAACTCTCCCTTCACACCTTTGTGCTACACACCCAGGAATACTTCTTCTTCTAGATCCCCGTTCAAGAAAGAAATTTTAATGTCCAGTTGGTGAAGTTCCCAATCGAAGCTAATGGCCAAGGATAGTATAATCCGAATAGTGTTCATTTTAGCAACTAGGGCAAATGTTTCTACAAAATCAACCCCATACACCTATGTATATCCTTTTGCAACTAACTTGGCCTTATACCTCTCAATTGACCGATTTGCTTTGTGCTTTACAGTGAATACCCACTTGCACCCCACTGGCTCTTTGCGTTTAGGAAGATCCACCAACTCCTAGGTGTTGTTTTTGTGTAGAGCAAAAATTTCTTCCTTCATTGCATCTGTCCATTCAGGTATAAATAAGGCTTCTGCAACACTTTTGGGAATGGAAACACAATCAATGGTAGTTAGAAAAGCACGAAATGAGGGTGAGATATTTTCATAGGACAAGAAGTGGGTAATAGAATGCTTAGTAGTACATGATCTAACACCCTTCCTATGAGTAATTGGGACATCAAGATCATTGGTAGAATCATCAATAGCAATAGGTAGTAATGTCAAGGGGAACAAGTATACCTGGATTTGCCTTAAAGGAATCTGATGATGCCGGATGTATAGCCTCTAGCTGCTCCACATCCTTTGAATTCAGTTGTCCCTTACGACACCTCACGAAAACACGAAAAGGAGAGGAGTTAGGAATAGAAGGGAGAGAAACTTGTGGAACTTGCCCCTCCTCCACACTACTCTCCCCTTGAGGAGAGGCTTGGAAGAAGGGTTCGGATTCAAAAAAGGACACATCCATCGATACAAAGTACTTATGTGTGACAGGATTAAAGCATTTGTAGCCCTTCTGAAAGATGGATAACCCCAAAAAACACATGGAATAGACTTGGGGTCCAACTTACCCCGGTTTGGAGACAGGTCATGAACAAAGCACTTACAACCAAACACACGTAGAGGAATAGAAAATAAAGGAGATTGAGGAAAGAGAAGTTGATGTGGGGCCTTGTATTGCAAGATACGTGATGGCATACAGTTGATACCATAAGCCGCGGCCATCACAGCATCAATCCAAAACCGTTTTGGATTATTCATGTGTAGCATCATACTACGAGCAACTTCAAGAAGATGTCAATTCTTCCTTTTAGTAACACCATTCTGTTATGGTGTTCTGGCATACGAGCTTCTATGAAGAGATCCGTGAGATGAAAAAAAATCAGCTAAGTCATGATGAAAGTATTCCTTTGCATTATCCGGTTGGAAATTTTGAACTTCAACATGAAATTGAGTAAAGATCATGCGGTGGACATCTTTCACAATTTTGGGTACTTCTTCTCTGGAACACATAGGATATATCCAAGTGTATGTAGAGTAATCATCAATGAAGTTGATAAAATACTTGTTCCCACCCTTAGTAGGTATGTTCATAGGGCTCCAAACATCAGAAAAAACATGGATAGGCAAAATAGATCTTTTATTATTTGATGGAAAAGTTGTTCTACAATGCTTGCTCAATTGACATGTTTGACATTGCAATCTAGTGACAAACACAGATAATGGGTCATCTTTGCTTCTACATCAGGTAAAGGGTGCTTCTACATTTCATGTGTGTACCTCTATTCCTGAGTCACCTTGGATCATTGACTTAGGGGCATCAAACCATAAGAGCCGACCTATCCATCTGTCCAAGAGTCCTACCGTATAGTTCCAAATGATCTCTGAAAGAATTAATGATGTCTTCCTTAGGGTCAGAACCACCAGGATGCTCTTGGGAAGTACCAGTGGTCTGATTATTAGATTGGTAATCTTGTGCAACCAGATTTGTAGAGGTAAATTTCTTCTGAGGAGGCTTCTTTGATGTGTCTTGATTCTTGGTTGCCCACTTGGGATTCCCCACTAGCTCCCAACAGGTCTCTCGAGTGTGTCTAGGCTTTTGGTAGTGAGTACACCACAACTTGTCCTTGCCACCATTTTTGCTTGATTCTCCCTTTTGTATTCCAATGTTACCCCCTCTTGCAACCAGAGCAACTAGTTGCTCCCCCTCAGAAACATGCATAAGATTTTTTTCTGCTTTCTTCAGATTGAACTAAGGCATATACCTCCTGAACCAAAGGAAGTTCTCTACTTCCTAACAACTGTACCTGAAGAGGTTCATAAATAGGATTCAGCCCCAACAAGAAAGCAAACACTCGTTGTTGGGAGACAAGTTTTTTGTATGCTTTAGCATCCTCATCATCCTTCCAGTCAATAGTTTGATAATGGTCCAGCTCCTTCCATACAGAGGTAAGGGATGAATAGTATGTAGATAGGCTATGGTCTCCTTGCTTACAAGTAGACGATTCTGTTAGACAGTGTATGCCCTTAGCTCCAATCAGAATGATGTACATTATGACATTTAATGTAAATGAATAAAGTACATATTTGATTCATGTTATTATGGTGTGTTTCTGTGTAATACCCTTAAACTGGACATATATGAGACT